CCCACACACTGCTCATCCCACCCAGAGCCCCTGTCACTCTGTCTACCGTGGTGGCCTTTAGAAATGTCAAACTCTTGGACTGCAGTTCTCCCAAGGGACTCTGGGAATGGAGTCAGTGAATACAGGAAGGAAGGGAACATTGGTATAACTTAGGCCCCTTCCTCACACCTCTGAGAAGCTCACCCTTTCTCCTCACAGGGACAGTGGGAGGTGGCCCTATTTTACGCAGGGAAAAACTGAGACCTAGTAACGTGCCAAAGCGAAAGGCAGAACCTGGTGTGTAGTCCAGCTGGCCTCATCCCTGCAGGCCCCCTGGTGCTCATAGTAACCCGGGCTAGGAGCCGCTGGCCACCATCTCCAGATTCTCCCTTACCTGGCTTTGGTTAGCCTTGGGGTCAAGGCTGGTTTTTGGCTCCCCTCCAGGCCTGAAAGAACAGCTCCTAAATGACTGTGTCCTGATGCACCTGGGCTGGGACAGAGTCCTAGAATTGGCCTGACCAGGTCACGTAGTCCTCCAGGTCTGCCAGGGACACTGGGGGCTGGCTACTTCCTTTCCTGGAGTCACCTCTCATCCAGTGCCCCTCACATCACTATAGAACCTATCTTCACACACACACACACACACACACACACACACACACACACACACACACACACCCCCCAAAGCCGGGGCAGTGGACTTTATTATTTTCAAGACAGTGCCTCATGTATTCCAGGTTGGCCTCATAGTTACTATTACTGAGGATGACCTTGAACTTCTGATTCTCTTGCCTGCATGTAGAGATTACAGGCCAGAACCACTAGTTGTATGCAGTGCTGGGGATCGGACCCGGGACTTAATGTATGCTAGGGAAACACTCTACCGAGCTACATCCTCAGCCCAGACAGAAGAGGAGTATCGTGTACAGAACCCAGAGTCTCCAAGCACGACACGGTACCTCGGTTTGATCATCATACCTGGTGAAGGATAAGCCTCATAATCACAGATGGAGAAACCCAGGCTCAGGGAAAATAAACTCCCCGAGGTCACTCACCGGATAAGTGGACTTGCTAGGATTGGGGCTATAGGTGCGTGTGACCCAAAGTCCTTTGAAACTCTGATCCCTAGGTTACTCCCATAATACTAGCTTAGAAGTGGCAGCAGGGCCAGACCAGCGCAGGGTGCAGTGGGAATCAGCAACAAGGACTTTTTCGGAGAACTTTTCCCATTGAAAATCTGTTCCCTAGCGGCCACGGGTGATGTATGACTGGAGCTGATGAGAAACGTGCGGTGGAATGGAGACCGGCGGCGCGGGCGGCCCACGCGGGGGCAGCGCGGCATTGAGATTCCGCAGGGCGCGCGGGGGGGGGGGGGGGCGGTGCAGGCCCTGACACGGGCCGGGTAATTGATCTGGAGGTGCCAATTTGCAGCAACTAAATATTTGGTTTCTGCTTCTGCCTGCTCCGCGCTCTGCTCAAACAAACTTCAATTAAAAGCGAAAGGCAAGCGTAGGGAGGCAGCGCGCCCGGGTCCCCGCGGCCGGATCGATGGCACCCAGCCTGCGGGCTGCCGAGCGCCAAACGGTGGGGCGGGAGGCACCGCCTACCAGGGCAGAGCCGGCGGCGCCCTCTTTCGGATCGCTGAGCACTGGGCGCATGGCCCAGGAGAGGCAGCGCCAGAGGGGGGACCTCGGAGTCACTAGAGCCCAGGAGCATCAAGCCATGGTCACACACAGGACCAGCCTGACACCTCCACCCCGATGTCTGAGCCCGCACACTCGAGCTGAGGCCGTGGGTCGAAGGGCTCCCTGGGCACTGACTCTATTTTCCAGATGTGTTTCAGCAGAACTTTGAACATGACCTCATGTTTCCTCTGCATCTTCTCCTAGAGTCCCAGGTTCATCTTCCCTACCCGAGGCTGCCCATCACGTCTACCATTGGGTGGGCCGAAGAGCGGTAGGTGACTCCACCCCAGACCCACCCCTGGAGGGAAGTAGAAGAGAGGCTTTGGAATTGGGAGAATAGCTATAGCAAGAAGAGGACGGATTGGGGACCATCAGTCACAGTTCTGTTGGGCTTCCAAATGGTCACTCACTGGGGACTGGGGTTCACAGACTAGTTTTTGCTCCTCAGGGATCTTCCGGTCCTTTGGGGGAGATTTACTGTGGCAGAAAGGGGTAACTCCGGTGGGAGAGGGAGGCGGAGGCTCTGTGGCATGGGCAGGCTGAAGACAGTTCTGGAAAGGACTGGTGAGGGAGGAAATGGGATTGGCAGAGGGGCACCCAAGTGAGCGCAGATCCTGGCAGACGAGTGAAGGTTGCCTGGTTCCTAGGAGCCAGAGGTGGGATCCATGGCAGAGGGACTGGGGAGGTGAGGAGGACCCCACCTCCCACACTCCTGTGCTTCACCTTCTGGACTGGAAGGCTGGGTGCATTATGTTTATTTTTTTAACCCCCACTGGCTAAGTCAGGCTATTCTAAGCCTCCCCCTACTCCCCCATGGAGCCTAGGTATCAATCCTGAGTTCTGATATCCCTACCCTGGGGCTGCTTGGCTGGGGCCTGCTGTGGGAGTACAGGTTCGTTTGACCAGTGAGAACTTGAGTTTCTAGGCCCTCAGGTGAGTCTTGTAGGGTCCCCTGGGTGCCACCCATCCCGGTCTCTAGTCCTATCTGGAGTACAATGGTCTCATCTCCAGGCAAACTCCTTGAAGCACATGTTTCACCTGAGGAATGACCCTCATGGGTCTTCAGCTTCTTCGTTTCTCTATAGCTTGAGGCTCCAACCTCCCCACAAAAAAAGCTGGATCCAAAGCTCTATGTGAGGCTGAGGAAGAGCCCAGGGCTGAAGTGTCCCCAAGAGCCTCCCCATCCACCCCTCCCCGACACTGCCTGCCCAGGGTGGGGGAGAAGAGGGGGGGCTGCTGCTGCAGGCTCCCTGCCTTCAGCCCCTTCCCCGCCTGCAAGCTGGAAGCCTGCTCCCTCACATTCCCACCCCCACCCCCACCCCCACCCCCAGGGCTGAGCTGTGGAGCAGAATGATTTCCTGTAATTGGCCAGCAATCCGGCCGCCCGACTTGTTCTATCGACATGCTGGTTAGCTGGAAATTGTATTGGAATCTGAACGATGGGGAAGGGAGGGGAGGGGGTGGTAAGGAGCAAGTGGAGGCAGCTTTGGGTCCCAGCTGGGTGCTGCTTTAGCTGAGAGTGGAATGTAGGAGCCATCAGCCAAGCTCTGCCTTCCCTGAGCAGAGCAGGAAAGCAACCCACTACATCACCTCCTTCACTTTTTCTCTAGCCATCTTCAAGGGCCTCTAGTGGCCATCCATGTGACCCCCCACTTGTGGTCATGTCTACGACCATCACTCCTGGAGCTCAAGTGCCTTTGTGAGAACAAGGAGTACTCAGGAAAGACACTGCCCCCCTCCCATCCAACTTCTCCCAAGCTTTCTCTTGCTCTGCTCCTTGTCCCGTAAGGATAGAAAAGGCATCTGAAGCCTTGCCAATAATTGCCGGATAGTATTATTGATGGAGGGACACTGCTGGGAATCCAGAATGGTGGTCACGGCATGTGGTTGCATCCACCTCCACCCCTCTGAAACCTCTGTAAAATTCTGCCCCTCCATCACCCACCCCACGTGCAGACTAGAAGACAATGGAGACTGCTCTGCAAAGTGCAAGACCGTGAATTAGCCTTGGGCAACTGGGACCAGGAGAGACAAGTGGCTTGAGGGGACTGCCTGCAGCCTTCAGCCCTTGCCAAGAGGCAGGTGAACGTGGAGTTCCCACAGGCATCCTGTTGCTCCTCTTCGGGTGATGAGGACCAAGCTAGAAACTGCAGCCCAAGGACTGGAGAGGGGTGGAGGTAAGATCTGTGTAGCTCAAACTGGTGTCTAAGCCCGAACTGTCACTTTAGCTTCTCTAATACTGGGGGGGTCCTGGCGTGCACTACCACGCCCAGATCCCATTCCACCTGTGTCTCCTTAACGTGCTCAGGGTCAGGTGGCCTACCATCCTGAGGGATACAGTTAAGGCTCTGAAGCCCAGATCCCCGCTTGGATGAGTGCTGCCACCTGCTGGCCACAGGGGAGGACACCTGCTCTGTGTGCCAGGTGGATGGGCCCAATTAAAGAGGCACTCAAGTTGAAGCAGGAAAGCAAGCCTTTTTCCAAAGCCACCTTGGTCAGTAGGTCAGAAGGGAGGGAGACTGGGGAGCAGAGCAGCTGAGACTGCCAGGGACCGTGCACACCTTCCAGACCAAGGTTTTGTCACACTCTACATCAAATTTAGAGAGCCAGGCCAAGAAAGAAGTAACTGTTAGAACATCATGGTTCACAAAGGGTTTTTAACTGTCTTTAACTTACCATGCAGAAACCAAAGGCAGAGAGACAGAACTGGGTCCCAATCCTGGGTCTGCTGCTCCTCCTGAGAGGTGACTCAGGTAGTGTACATTTCAGAACCTGCATGACCCAAACCAAATCCCCATGCTCTGCAGTTTGTCCTTATTGCACACATTGTGTCCAGAATGCCACAGGAATTGTTGCCTCACTCACCGGGTTACAGGGTCCTGCTGGAGTCCATAGTTTCTCCCCCTTGCCAGGTTCTGCTAGACCCCACCCAACTGAGGGAGCAGGCAGCTCCAGCTACCTCTTCCACTTCCTCACAGCCCCTTTTTGCTGCTTGGAAATGTGCAGGAAGTTAATGAGCTGCTCTCTGAGGTTTAAGCAGCTCTGTGAAAGAGGGCATTAAAAATGGCCACTACCACATTCACATTAGTCACACTCATTTTTGGCCTTAATAGGCTGCTGGAAACAAGATCTACACATCAGCAGGTCTGCAGACACTGGGAGGGAAGGCTGATGTCTGTACTGGTCTAATTGGGCTGGGGAAGAAAAAAACAGGCCTGTGGGATGAACGGATGTGATCTGCCCAACACCTCCACCGGCCTCCTAGAGGTGCGGACCTGGCCGGAGTCCTCTGCGTAGGCCTCCTCGGTGTGAGCAGAGGCCAAGTGGAATTCAGCGGACATTTTAGATCAATTCAATTTATTGAGCACCAGTGGAGAGCAGGCTGTAGTACACTGGAGAGGAGTCAGCCCTGCCACCTAGAGGCATACAGTCTAGGAGAAATCAGTTTCTTGTTGGTTATTCTACCATGGATTAAGATAAAACACGGGGTGCCTGACCAGGGGCAGCCAGGGGTAAGGTACTGCAGGGCAGGGAGCATCTGGAGGAAGGCACAGAGGTCAGACGGCATGGGGCCTGGGGAACGCCAGGATTGCAGAGCTCAGAGGCAGTGGTGGGGGGCAGTGGCTAAGCGGTAAAGCCCCCAGAGAGGAGTCACACTGCACCCTGGCAAAAGGCTTCAACCCAGGAGACAGTTGTTTGAAGAAGGCCTTCAGTTTAGAAGGATTTGCTGTGGTCCACTAGGGAGTTTGTGGCCATGATAGGGCAGATGCTCCAAGAGGGCTCAAGCCCAAGAAACTGTTGGCTACATTGCTGTAACCATGGTGAGGGCCACAGAGACTGCTGTTCTCCTGCCGTCATGGATATTGTTCTGAGGGCGTACTAGGGGATGAGGGGCTCTAGGGGGGGGAGGGAAGGGTACCTGATAGTGAGTTTCTTTCTGCTGAGTCCCAGACTGGATGAGTGAATGTAGTGTTGAGGACATGGTACCTGACTTAGGTCTCTAAGGAGGAGGCCTAAGGCTTGCTGCCTTGGTGTACCCAGTTAAGAAGAAGGTAGGAGGTAACGGGTGAGCAGGTAAAGGAGGCTGGCGATGCCTGCTAGGCCCGTTAGGAACCCGAGCCTCAGTGGCAGGTACTCCATGGAGCGTTCCAGCTTGGCATGCAAGAGGATGACCTGGCGTCTGGTGAGGCTCCACTCGCCCGAGTTGTCTAGAACGTGGTTGGCCATGCGGGCCTTGTCCTTCAGGGGCAGCTGGGCATTGATCCTTGCCTCTGCATCTTCACGATTCAGGTTGTTCCGCTTCATCAGCCGCGCCAGCTGTGTGTCTCGGTCACTAAGGACAGGGCAAAAGTGCACTGTGGACCCCAGCCTCCCTCTCTGCAGCAAGATTCACAAGTGGGCAGCTAGGTCAGGCCCAGCCTGGGACCTAGGCTTGGATAGCATGTTCCCTTAGGAAACTACTTCTCCTGCGGTCACACAGGTGCCACCCTGACAGGCTGAGATAGGTCCTGGAGAACTGGACCCCAGCCCTATCAACCACCTCAGACTCCCAACAACAACAAGAGGGGTGGGCTCTAGCAGCTGTTTCCCACCATCTAGGTCTGTGTATCTGTCCATTGGTCTGAGTTTTCCTTGTTATAAAACGGGAGGATTTTACCAGTCCAGGCCTTTGTCTGCAACTTGAGAAACAGAACAAAGCCGGACAGACGCAAGCCTCCTCTATGAAAGTTAACCTCATTATACAGAGGCTGTAGTGGGCACATCCAGCTTTAGTCAAGGCATGCCTGTGGCTGGGGACGAGAATGGAGCTGGCTGTCAGTCGCCTGGGAGTGCATTCTTCCACAGGCGTGGTGCAGAACAGAGAGCCTCCAGGGACATAAGGGCAGCGGCAGCCTCCCCAGGGCTGTGACAGCGAATGCTGGGTTTTGTTGATGGCAGTTTTTCTTTGCTCATTTCACAAGTCCATTTTTTTCAAAAACATTAAGGATCACATTTAGGTACAATCGCTTTCCAGGAACTGCTCCACGCTGGCTCACAAGGTACAGACAGATCCTTTTGACAACAAATAATCAAACTGTCCCCTTTCTGATCCCTGGATATAGATTTGGGTTTTTGTTTGTTTTGTTTTGTTTGAGACAGGGTTTCTTGAACTCACAGAGATCTGCCTGCCTCTGCCTCCCAAGTGCTGGGATTAGAGGCATGTGCCACCATCACCCAGCTAGGTTAATTGTTTTTAGAGATTTATCTTTCTCTCTTTTTTTTTTTGGTTTTTCCAGACAGGGTTTCTCAGTGTAGTTTTGTGCCTTTCCTGGAACTCACTTTGTAGACCAGGTTGCTGGCCTCAAACTCACAGAGATCTGCCTGGCTCTGCCTCCTGAGTGCTGTGATTAAAGGCGTGCGCCACCACCGCCTGGCGAGATTTATTTTTATTTTGAGTGTTTTGCCTGCATGTATGTAAAGGCATTAAGTATGTGCTTGGTGCCCACAGAAGCCAGAAGGAATTGGATCCCCTGGAACTGGAGTTATGGATGTTGTGAGTCAGCATGTGGATGCTGGGAACTGAACCTGGGTCCTCTGAACATGTGCTCTTAAATGCTGAGTGCCCCCTAATTTTGTTATTAAAGCACAGAGAATCCAAGGACTTAATAGGGCCCTCCTGACCTCAGCTGCATCTTCCACAAACAGAATAAAGCGCCCAGAGAGGCTGGGATACAGCTTAGTTATTAGAGTGCTTGCTTAACATGGGCAAGGCCTGGCTCCTGTCTTCATCACCACAAAAACAAACAAGGGAGAGACTGAAGGTTTACGTGGGGAGGCACAGCCCTGTGGAGGAACTGACAGGCTCAGGGGATTCAGACTGAGTGACAGCCCATGAGAGATCTGGGTAGGGTAGGGCAATGCTCAGGGCACTGCGCGTTCCAGTGTACTAGGAGCCTCCCACACATCGATCCCTTGAGAATCACCTTGTGCCCAAAATACCTGCAGAGCCAAGGCCCACCTATCTGTCTGCATACTTGTGATATCTGGAAGCTTCTGGGAAGCAGAGGCACCCTGCAGCCTCGTCTAATCTCTCACCCACAGGGACTGTGACTCATTTCTCTGGCAGCTTGATTCTCTTGTTTGCCAAACCTGAATTCTGATTTGCTTCCTGTCCTGGGGGATTCTGAGAAGAAAGCTCCTTCCTTAGATTCTTCTGACAGCTGCATCCACACAGCTCTCTACCCACAGGTGATCTCGAACACATCCTGCTCTCTCCATGGGTGCTACCCACGGGTGATCTCGAACACACCCTACTCTCTCGTGGGTGCTATCAATTGGTGATTGTGAACACATTCTTCAACTACCTCCACTTCCATTTTCCCTCTGTAACTCAGAAGTGTCCCTCTGCTATGAGTACCTCATGCTGAAAAATAAGAGAATGAAGCTGTAAACATGGGAGTGTTGGAGAAAGTGTGAAGTGCTCCAGGATGAAGAAGGGAGCCACTGAGTAACAGGGTGGCCGGCTAGAGGCAAAACCAGGCAGCGCAACTGAAGTGTCTCCAATAGCCAGCAGGGGGAGCCCTTCTCAAACACTTAGCAAGGCCTGGGGACCCTCTTAACTCATACCTGCCCCAGGTGCATCAGGATCAGGTAAAAAACACTGGTCTCTGTAAGCTTGGGTACCACTACCCCAACTCACTTTGTGCCTTGGCCACACCATGAGCAAAGTGTGAAGGGATGCTTCCCAGGTACATCTCCCCTGCGTCCTTCCCAGCCTGTCAGGAGGCCAGGCCTCACACTTACCAGTACACTACCACCGTGTGCTTCATGTACTTGAGCAGCTTCTTGGTCTCAAACAGGAGGGGGATGTCCAGAATCACGTAGCGGTACCCTGGGGAGAGGATGGAAAACTCCCAAGTTCAATTCTGCAAGGACACCAAGAAGGATGCTTGTGACCAGCCCCTGCCACAGAGAATGCCCCAGCAGATGGGAGACCTTCCAAGGACAGACATACCCTGAGTGCCAGCCAGTTCCAATGCCATTCAGAGCAGAATGCTGCAGAAAATAACTTCTGGCTGGCTGACCAGGGAAGACCTTGGAGAAGGACTGGCATTTGGACTGGCTTTGAAAAGCAGGGAAGAGGAGATACTTGGAATGAGAAGGTGGAGGCGAGGAGTTCTGATGAGGACCAGCAGAACCCAGGCACTGGGAGGTTCTGTGCAGAAGAGGCGGAGGTCAGAAGCACAGCGCATCAGAGGAGACTAGGTGGTCAGGGTAAACCTTGACCTTCAACCCCAAGTTATTTCTGACTGGAGACAAGACACAGCCAGGGCTGTAGGCAACTGGAAAGAGTTTCTGGAGATGCTGAGGCCTTTCTGCCCTATTTCATCTTACACTGGCTCAAGAAACCCAGGGCAGGCCCTTTCCTGGAAGCCAGGTCCAGACATGGCTGCCTTTTGAGTCCCATGGCTACTCTGCAGCTTCCTGTGAGACTTGTACCAGCCCAGAGCAGCGAAGGTGGTTCCAGTTAACGCAGGTTCCCTCAGCGGAGAAGAGGCACTTCAGGCCCTCCCACACTGTGAATGGGCACACCCTGAGTAATGTGCACTCCGGCTGCCCCTTGTGCCCTGTGTGGATGAACAAAGTTGGAAGGGGTAGAAGGCAGTAGATAAGGACAGGGACTGATGCCGCTCAGAGACCTGGGGCCCGAAGGGTCTCTTGTTCAAGACACTTTAACCACAGAACCACACACTAGTTGCTGGTTGCTCCCCATAACCTGCGGCTCAGGAAGCCTACCTGAAGCCTTGGTTGATGAGGGCATTGGGTTCCTGAGCTCTGCTGACACCCCTTGGTTTGCGGCACCCTGTGTGACCTCAGGTCCTTAACAAAACTAATCTTTGTAATGAATGAAAGGAATACCTGCTTCACAGGGTGATGGGCAAGATTACAGGAGCTCTGAATGCATGCAACCACTGAGCAGCAGCCAAGCCCCTCAGCCAAGTGCCCCCGAAATGATGGGTGTTATTGCTATTGTTCCTGGAGGAGGGAGGTTGGCACTGAGCCTCTCTACCTCCCATTTCACCCTCTCAGCTCAGAGCCAGAGAAGAGACCAGATCCTCCCTGGGCCTCTTATCTCCCTTTCCTGCTCCTCTCCCCTTCCTCCCTCCCTCTTACTGTCCTTTCTCCTGGGTCCCTCTTGGGAGCTGGAAGCCAGCTCTTTGGTTTGCCGGTAAAGGGCTATTCAGCTGTCACATCTCTCCTGCTTGATAAGCCCTGAAACTGTCCTGACTCCATTAAGACATCCGCCTGCCTACGCAGAGACCTCCCCAACAGCTGGTGATCTTATCTGACGTTTGATTATACCAACTTTGACAGTTGTATTTGTTATCCTCATCAGGGAGACACTGGGACTGTGGAAGGCACAGCTGTCGTCCCCATTCCTCACCTTATCGAACTGAAAAGAGCTCTCTGGCTTTTATTTAAGTGCTGGTGGTTGGGGAGGTGGGGAGGCTGGGTGGATGACACAACGGAAGAGCTTTGGAGCTGGTGACATTATCCAATGCTTAATTTCAGAAGGGGGCAGCCACTGGTGCCCCGCAGCCCTGCAAATGTACTCAGAGCTGGCCTGGGAGCAAATGTAAAGGGCAGGAATGAAAGGCAGGCAGCTGTGCCAGGCTGGGGTGGGCAGAGGGGAGCAGTGTCACAGCGACGGGCTGGCAGACACTGGGGGGGGGGGGGGGGACAAGGGCAGGGTCCAGACTCCTTCTGAGAGAGGAAGAAAGACAACTTTGGCCAAGGGTCTCAGAGACAAACAGTGGGGCGGGTTTAGAGCAGCAGGTGCCGGGGGCCAGCTCCAGCCTTTCCAGCGCTTTAGGGAATGAAAGGTAGGCTTGGGTCAACAGCACACATGCTTTTTATCATACTCTTTTAGAGGTTAAGTATCGACCAAAGAACACGCTAGGGAGAGGGTCCCTACTCTGTACACAAGAACCTGAGGCATGAAGGGTAAGGGGCCTGGCCATGGCCATAGTGGGAAAATTTGGAGACAACCAAAATGGATCCCCATACTCTCTAGGAAATAGTCTCCACAATACGACTGCTGGAGGAGCTAGGCCACTAGGCCTTCTACTGAGGCGCAGACCGGAGGCCATATATACCAGAGGCTGGTAGGAAGTCTCCATGGCCTAGGCCAGCTTCTCTACCCTCCCATCTCTCCTGCAGAGGGAAGTACCAATAAACAGTGTGAACTCAGCAGCCTAGACAGCCACCTACCCTACCCTGGACCTTCAAATAGAGAGAGGCTTTGTGGAGAGGTTGTCTGTCCCTTCCAGCTCCAAGTCTAGAGTCTCACCTCGGAGAAAGTACTTGAAGGTCTCCTTCATCATTTCTTTGCGGATCTCAGGATGAGTGATGGAGTTGAGTAGCTGCCGACGATCAGGCTGGTTAAAGATCAGGTCTCCAAGGACCTTGCGGTCGATGTCGCCATTCTCCAGCAAGACTTCAGTGCCAAAGACCTCTACGATACGCCGGTGAGCAGGGTACCCTGGCTGGACGACTGTGAGATGAAGAGGCTGGGTCATTTCAGAGCTTCCAACCATCCAGAAGACCCCCGAATGACCAGAGGCAAACTGATGGGGGACCCAAGGCTGTTTCCTTCCACTGGAATGAGCAGAGCACACAGAATCCCTCAAGCCAGGGATGGAGCTGAGTTTGGGAAGATTGGACTCTTAGGGAGAATGAAGGATAAACAGAAGGGCCTTAAGGGCAAGCTGGAGCAGACACAGGCAACCCGCCCAGGACAGTCTCACTCTCTGAATGCCCCAAGAAGACAGAAAGAGGAGGCCAATGGAAGAGCGGAAGCCGAGGGGAAGCTGCTGTGTACAATGGGTCCAACTCACCGTGCCGGGCAATGACGTCTACATCGATCACAGCACAACCCAGCTGTTGGAACACCTGGATGACGGAGCTCTTGCCTGAGGCAATGCCTCCCGTTAGGCCCACCAGGAACATCTTCCCAGGAGAGAGACTGGCAGAGTAGGAGCCAGGAAACACTGGACAGTTGGCACACTTGCCAATCAGCTGCTCCACCAGGCTGGAAAACCTGTTGTCAAGAGACATCCAGGCCTGGTCAGCACTGGCCACAAGGGGGACACAGCAGGGGGGGCGGGGCCTGGTCCAGGGCTTGGGGGGTTCCGGGGCTGCTTCTGAGAGGAAATTCCCAGTACTGTGCGTGTCGGTGCGGGCTGGACGTTCGAGCATGGTGCACGCTGGGCAAGTGCTGCCCCAATAAGCTACTCCCCAGGGGCTCATGAGTGTGTGCCTGCAGGCCTTCAACTTGCCATCCTCCTGCTTTAGGTCTCCAAGTACCTGGGATTAAAGGCAGGTCTGTGGCACCGTCTCAGTTTCGTTAAGTCTTTTTTCACATTTTAATTTTCTAGTGTGAGTACATGCCTTTCTTGGGAGGGCTTCATCGGTCAGGATCACTTTTGCTAACCTGAAGATTTACTGTCCTAATTATACTTTGCCTGGACTCACATGGAAATGAGCTTGCCTCTCCTGAAGACACAAGTGTGTGTGTGTGTGTGGGGCGGGGGGAGCCACGTGGGTGTGGCACAGGATAGCAAGAAACCAACCTACAAGTTTACATCTGCCTAGCTCATTCTCACATGGGCCGGGGCAGAGAAAGAGTATCTACCACAGACAACTAACTAAAGAACGCCATGTTTGAAAAGTTAACCTGAAGACGCTGTCACCCCAGGTAGTCTCCCTCTCAACAAAAGGGGTTAAGGACAGCATTCAATTATACAAAGAGAAACTTAAGACCATTCAGCTGAAGCTTTGTGACAGAGAATGTGGCATCAGTGTCTTGGTTCCCATCTCTGCTGCTGTCCCTCAAGCACAGCTTTTCAACTAGGTGTGACAGCACAATCCTACAACCCCAGCACTTAGGACATTAAGGACTGGGCTACAGAGTGAGACTTTATTTTTTTTTTTTTATATTTATTTATTTGCTGTGTATACAGTATTCTTTCTGCATGCCTGCACTCCAGAAGAAGGCATCAGATCTCATTGTGATGGTTGTGAGCCACCATGTGGTTGCTGGGAATTGAACTCAGGACCTCTGGAAGAACAGTGCTCTTACCCTCTGAGCCATCTCTCCAGCCCTGAGACTTTATTTCTAAAAGAGAAGAAAACCCAAACAAGAAGGGCTGGGGGACCGGAGAGATGGCTCGGCAGGTGCCGGTGTCTGCCGGCAAGCTGGCAGTGAGTCCAGTCCCGGGGCCCACACGGTGGAAGAACTGAGAACCGACGCTCTCCAGTTGTCCTCTGACCTCCACACGTGCGTGGACACCACACACACACACACACTTTTTTTTAGAAGTAATTTCAAACAACTAAAATAAAACTCACAAAATGGCTTCACTATGTTCCTGGCAGCTCTTGCCCATGCCATGACTTCTCTACACATGCCATGATGCTCTTCAGTGCCAGCACACACTGCGGCCTCACCTGTGAGACTCCTGTGCTATGAACGGCAGTCTTTCCCTCTACGCTCAGAATTCTCTGCTCATACAGAAACACAGTGGTTAATTACAGAAAAGACAGTATTTTCCCACTGTCATTCTTGGCATTTAAGTATCATATCAGCGAATCTTTGGAGAATATTACCAAAATGTTTGATTTTAAAAATTGCTGTTTGAGTTGCTGACTTTAGTTTCATCTAAAAAAAAAATTATGAAATGAATTTGGGCAGAATTAAGGCACAATTTCCAACAACTTCTGAAATAGCCCTACACATGCCTGTACCATTTTATACTATGTACTCATATGAGAGTGTTGTCAGCATTGCTGCTCAGAAAATTAAAGAATCATCATCTCTGAAGAACACTGAAGATAATCTACATCCTATAATACCAAATATGCAGCCCTGATTTAATTAAAATCCTGCTCAGTGTGATGTACTCCTGTACCCCAGCACTCAGAAGAAAAAGGTAAGAGGATTATTACAAGTTTGAGGCCAACCTGGTATACATAGCAAAACCTTGCCTCAAAAAGGCAAGAAAGGGTTGGAGAGATGGCTCAGGGGTTAGGAGCAGTTGCTGCTCTTCCAGAGGACCCAGGTTTGATTCCTAGCACCCATATGGTGGCTCACAACCACCTGTAAATCCAGTTCAAAGGACTTGGCACCCTCTTCTGGCCTCTGCAGGCACCGGGCACACACCTGGTATAAATACATATATTCAGACAAAACATTCACACACTTCAAAACCAAAACCAAAGAGTGAATGATTTATGTAAAAACAGTGCATCCACTGGTGTGCAAATCTGCTTCCAGCATGTGTGTACCAAAGAAATGTGCTGAGCGTCTTCATTTGCTTACTCACCCTGCTGGCCCTTAAATCAACTTCTTATTATTACCACTGACATGCATGTACCCAGAGTCACATTCTGGTGAGAAGGGGGTTTGGTAGGAACATTTCTAGAAGTCCCTCTTTTCCTGAACACCAGTTGAGTGGGGGAGTGGGATTTGAACACAGAGATAAGGGCCAGCTTCCCACATGAGAAGCCATCGACTGACTGCCAGACTCAGCTGAAGGGACTTGGAAGACCATCTAGCCAGGCTGACCTCAACCCATGCCCACAGAGCTCCTCCTGAGAATGGAATGGAATCCAGTCTCTGGGGATAGAGCAGCCTCGGCAATTCTGGCATATGGCAGGGCTCAGAACAGATCCTAGCTCTTCGTTTACAGTAGTACATAGTGAGGAGCAGAGGGAGAAACCTGCTCAGACTAGGTTTGAACTCACCAGACAGCTGAGGATGACTTTGAACTCCTGATCCTCCCAAGTACTAGGATTGTATGTATGTACATTATTCCTAGTAGCTGATTCTTGATTATCATACTGTTTTGTTCTACAGAAAGGGAGGGAGGGTGTCTGCGTTCAATGTCCAAGACACAGATGTAAAGTGCAGGCTCCTGTGGCAACCAAATGAACAGCCACCCTTTCAGTGCCTTCAGCCTGCATCTGGAAACAGCCAGACACTCTGCCTTCACAAGGAAGACCGAGGAGACCGAGGAGACAGGAATACGTGCACAGGGAGGCCCTTGGCTGCTGGCTTGAAGGAGATGGGTAAGAACCAGCTGTTCCTGTCCAGCAAGCCCTTGGTGACTCACTCCCTCACCAGCTGTTGACTAAGCCCCTCGGTGCTTTGCAGCCATGTGCCAGGGACCTCTCGACAAGCCATGGAAACCACAGGTCTTGCCCTGTGCGAAAACTGGAGACAGACGGGAACAAATGAAAAGAGCAGGGAGCAACAGAGTGCCAGTGGGGAGCAGGACCAGTTAGGTGATACTGGTGCTGCCCAGCCCAAAAGCCCCTTTGCACTCTAGGCTGTCCACAGATTAGGCTGTGCCAGGAAATGAAGCTAAACTAGAGTCCACTGTCCTTTCAAAGCCCAGCAAGGCAGAAAGCAAGGCTTATACCAAATTCCAAGTACCACTCAAACCTGTCAACAGCTCCCCCAAGCTCACATGGATAGCAGCCACCTTTAACAACCTGTTGCTAATCAAGCCATTATTTTCCAGAATCCACCTCACTTGCCCTGTTGAACTACGGCTGAGGCAGAACCTCAGAGCCACCCTCTAAGCCTGGCCAAATCTGAGTCCTCTGCAAAGCTTTCAAAAAGAGATGTCGAACCCAGACTGGACATCAGCCTTAAATAGAAACCAGCCAGGTAGAAGCACTCCCTAAGAGGGACGGTTATGGGCTACACAGAGAGGCTTGGGTCCCTGTCTATGAACCTGTGAAGCTACCTATGTGCCCTCAAGGAGCTGAGAAGCCTGGGCCAGAGTGGAAGGGCTCTGCAAAAGACCAGCAATGGAGCCCCAGAGGCCTAGCCTTTTCTGGGCTTCAGTTTCCACCCCTGTACGCAAAGGGCCCAGCACAGCATCAGATCCTGAGAGAGGCTGTGTCACAGATGATTTCTTCCTCCCCTGAAAGAGTCAAAAATGCTCAGCTGGTAAATCAAGAAATACCATGACCATAGAGGCCCTGTTCTCTCTTTTCTTAAAAATTACATGCGTAGCCTGGCAGTGGTAGCACACGTCTTTAATCCCAGTACTCAGGAGGTAGAGACAGGCGGATGGATCTCTGTGAGTTCCAGGACAACCAGAACTACTTAGTGAGACCCTGTCTCAAAGAAACAAAAGTTACATGTAGCATGTCTGTGTATGTGTAGAGGTCAGAGGACAACTTAAAGACTGGTCCTCTCCTACCATGTGGGTCCTGTGGATGAACTCAGATTGTCATGCTTGGCAGCAAGCCCTTGTCGACCCAAGGCCTGGCTCTCTTCCTCTGCAGGACCATAGGCGTCCTCAGAGCTGCCTTGGCTGGAGGAAAGCTAAAGGTCCAGAGAAGGGAAACGGGGAGCTGGTGCCAGGAATTCAGCATGGGATCACTGGCCAGGGCAGGGCCAGGAGAAAAGCAGGATGCTAACCCCAGAAGAGCCACAGCCAATGCTGCCTCCTCCCTCCCCTTCATGTCAAGGGAGAAGCACAGATACAAAGAGAAAGGCAAGCAGTCTTTGAGACAGCAGTGTCTACACCCCAAATCCTCTGTGAGCCCGAAGACCCACGAGGCAGCTCCTCCGTTCTATTGTGCTCTGGAGCGGTGGGCCCTCATGGAGCTACTCCAATGTGCCCTTCTATCATTCCCTCTTGGGCCCCAGTAAACCAGAGAAGACAAAGAAAGGACATTTGGAGAGAAATCTCTTGGAACTTCCTCTGGTTTCTCTTTGGAAATGAGTGGGCTGGCTCACACACCTCTAAACAGAAGCCTACTGCTGTCCTAACTCCACAGGCCTACTCAACAGCCTTCACACCTGACCCAACAGTCCCACTTAACCTTTTGGAAGCCAAGATCATGACTAAAGGATCATCTGAGCATGTCACTCTTCTGCATAAACCTTCCTGCCTTCCCCATCCCTATGTCTAGGCACAAAGGTCTCTGGAGCTCCTCAGTCACTCTCTGGACACGCTGCTGCTTCTCCATCGCAAGACCTCCAGGCATGCTGTTCCTGATAACTCTTGCTGACTCTTTATC